AGGTGCTGTGCTGCTGAGCTATATCCCTGGCCCTCACCTAAACATTTTTATTATTATTATTATTATTATTATTTTATCTTTTTGAGACAGGGTCTTGCTATGCAGTTCAGGCTGGCCTTGAGCACACTTTGTAACCCAGGCTGGTCTCGAACTCCCAACGATCCTCCTGCCTCAGCCTCCTGAGTGCTGGGATTACAGGCGTGTGCCACCACACCCAGTGGTGTTTTTTTAAATAAAAACTCTTGAGAAAATAAATATAAATCAAGAGAGAATATTTAAACAATAATAATAAACAAACAAAACATACCAGAATCTTTGAGACACATCCAAAACAATGTTTGCATGTTTTTGGTATTAAATGAATAATCAAAAAAACCACAACATGGGGCTGGGGATTTAGCTCAGTGGCACAGTGCCTGCCTGGCAAGCACAAGGTCATGAGTTCGATTCCTGGTATTGGAAAAAAAATAAATAAATAAATAAATAAATAATAAACCACAATAGAATAAATAGGCATCCAACTCAGGAAAGTAGTAAAAGAATGACAAAAATAAACTCAAGAGAGGCAGAACAAGCCAGGCCCGGTTGTACAAATCTGTAATGCCAGCACTCTAGGAGGCTGAGGTAGAGGATCATAAATTCAAGCCAAGCCTGGGCAAATTAGTTACTTTGTAAGACCTGTCGTAAAAACAAAAAATTTTAAAAGTGCTAGAAATGTGGCTCAGTGCAAAATCCCTAGGTTCAATCCCCCATATTCCCCAAAAGAGGGGCAGAATAAATAAATTAATAGATATAATCAGAAAATAAGTTGAAAAACCCAAAAGAAGACCAGAAGAACTAAAAAATAACCTGAGAATAAATGGAAGTTTCTTCAATATGATAAAAATATATTTAGGTTAACCCAAAAGTCAGCATTGAGCTTTATGGGGAAACAAAGATACACCCCCACTAAAGGAGATAATGAGAAAAGATATCCACTGTTATTTCCCTTGTTCCAATGTTCAAACAATTTAATTAGACAAAAGAAAATAATCGGATATAGAAAGACATCAAAAGTTAAAACAGTCATCATTTGAAGGTAATGTGATCTCTACCTGGAAAATGAAGAAAATCAACATTAAAAAGTATTATAAAATAAATAAACTCAGTGGGATGCTGGATATCATTCTGAGAGTTTAATAGATCACTAGGCTTCTTGGGAGCTTATCAGAAATCAAGGACCAAGCTGGGCATGGTGACACACACCTGTAATCCTATAACTCTGGGAAACTGAGGCAGGAAGATTGCAAGTTCAAGCCCAGCCTGGGGAACTTAGTGATTTAGTGAGAACTTGTCATAAAATATAAAAAAAAGATGAAGATGTAACTAAACACAAAGGTCCTGGGTTTAATCCCCAGGACCATGCAAGGAAGGAAGAAGGAAGGGAGGGAGGAAGGGAGGATACAAGAGATCCGGTGACAGGTCAACTCTATCAGGTCCCTTCTATCATAGAGCGTGAGGTGATTTATATACTCTGGAAGAAACAGTTATTCTATATTTGGGTTTTCCTTCCCTCCAAGTGGACTATTTCATCATCCCTGGAATTGTCATCTTAGCATAACACAGGGTGATCCAGACAAAATTATCTCCAACCAAGAAACTCCCTTCTCAGTGAAATAAAGAAGACAGTTGGCCAGCCATGGCCATTATCATGTTTCCTACCCACCAGAAGCAGCTGGCCTTATAGAACAATGAAATGATCTCATGAAAACTGATCTAGCAGTGTCAGGGAAACCACACCTGCAAGGCTGGAATGCTTTCTTGCAGATAGCGATAAGTGATCCGAACAGGACAGAGGTCCAGGAAGCAAGGGTCAGGGTGGACAGCAGCAGCTCTCTCCCTTACTATTCTCTTTAAAGATATTTGCTTTCCATTCTCTGCGTTCCTCAGGCTCTGTGGACCTCGATGCCCCAGGGACTCCTCATCTGGGACTCCTCCCGCCCGTAGGACAATGGCAGAAGAGTGTGTCCCCGTGCTGGCTGCGTGGCCCTTGATTATGAAGAGGAAATGGGGTTGTTACTCCCTGATATGGCCTGGTGGAGTAGAGATGGGAGAAGGATGATCTCCTTGGTTGCCCTTGTGGAACACACCCAGTGCAAAAGTAACAGAAAACTCTCAGAATGTAGTGAATATTCTAATTTTTTTTCACTCACTGTGGGTTGTAGCTGAAGTTTTTAAATTTTTGCCAAGTTTTTAAGGTTTCAAGATGGGAAGAAATAACCCTTGGTTAATGAGAAACTAGAAGATGAATGGGAACACTTGGAAACTGTGAACTTTGGAAAAATTCTGAGGGAATGTCAAAAGTGGGGTGAGAGGTCCCTTTCAAGTGTCTGAATGTGACTCGGCATTGCCTACTTTTAGGGATGTTGAAGCACACTTGTGGCCATGATCACTGAAGAAGGGGAACCGAGTACACTTGGGGACATCCAGGGCTCCCTTCTGGGCTCCCTTCTATACTCTGTCTACATGCTCTGTACCTAAGCAGCCTCTCACAGAGCTACCTAACCCTGTATGTTGATGACTTGGAGACCTATATTTTCCAGCTCTAGTGTCATCTGAAAATCCAGACTACACATCTACCTGCCTCCTTGATCAACCCTTTGGAGGATTCAGAAGGATCTCAAATAAACATACCCAAGCAATACTGACTCCCGATTATCAGCAACCCCTAAAATGTTCTTCCTTCAGTCTAACCTGTTTCCATACATGGCACCATGAGCTACTCAGTTGCTCAAAACAAGAATCTAGAGCTCCCCTCTCCACTACGGTAACCACTAGTGATACGTGGCTACCCAAATTTACATTTCAATTAAATAGGGCTGGGGACATAGCTCAGAGATAGAGCACTTGCCTAGCATGTGTGAGGTCCTAGGTTCAATTCTCAGAATAATAATAATAATAACTATTATTATTCCAGTCTCTTAGTTTATCTAGCCACATTTCAAGTCTTTAACTATAGCTAGTAGCTACCATATTGGAAGTCAGATACACAACACTTCCATCATCACAGAACGTGCCGCCATCAGTTCCTCTATTTGTCACCTCCCATATCTAATCCACTAGCAAGTCCTGAGGATTTTACCTCCAAAACATTCTCCGAATCAACCCACTTCCAAGTTCCTTCTACCATTCTGGTCAATACCACTATCATCCACCATCTACCTGGACTGCTGACATCACTTCTTCCCATCCCACCATAATCCTTACTTCTAAACTTACCTATGGGGGCTGAGGATTTAGCTCAGCGGCAAAGCACCTGCCTTGCAAGTGCAAGGTCGTGAGTTCGGTTCCTGGTACCGGAGAAAAACCAAAACAAACAAACAAACAAAAAAAAAAAACACTTACCCATGACCATTTCTCCTACAGTGGACAGAATAATCTTTTTTTAAACTGAAAATCATAGCAAGTCTTACTCATACTGTAACTTTTCTAGTAATTTCTGTGGCAGTGACTGTGTTTTTATCCTTACATCCCTTCTCTCCTTATAAATAAAACCTCTGGACTTTAGGCGAGCATATGGAAGGCTAGAATAAAAAAATAAACTTTCCAGAGTCTTTGAACTCAGGTGTGGTCAGATCACAAAGCTCTGGCCAATGAGATGAGAACTAGTGAGGTTATGTGCAATTTCCTGACATGTCCTTAAAACCAGCTGGGCTTTTCCTGCTAGACTAGAACATGGCTTTTCCTGCATGATGGCTAAAGCTAGATCAGAACACAGGGTGAACTTGGGAGTGGATATCATGCACTGTAGAGCAACACAACTGAAGAAGCCTGGGTCTTGCCCACAGTTTGGGATTTTCCACCATGCTGGAAAACTATGTTCTCACTACATAGCTTCCCATCACGCTTAGAAAATCCAAACTCCTTACCAGAGTCTGGAAGGTTCTACATGACATGGTCCCACTCCAAGAAAATCCTCTCCACTGACCATCCTCCAACCGTACTGGCTTTCTTTTTTGCTGCTTCAACACAGGAAGCTTCTTGCTGTAGGGTTTCCGTGAGGTCTTCCAATTGCCTGGACTGCTCCTCCGCAGACCTCCTCATGACTGACTCCTTCTGTTATCCAGACCTCAGTGTAAACGTCGGTGTTTGAGATGGGTTCCCTGATCAACCCACTCTAAGATTCCAAGTCATTCATTCTTTTTTTCCAAGACCTTACTTTAAATCTGTGTAAAGAATTTATTACTAACTGATGATTCTTTCATTTGCCTTGTGTCTGCTTCTACCCTTCAGAACGGAAGCGCCACAGGGCACGGGTTTGTTTTGGTTGGTTCCCTGCTATCATATTCCCAGTGTCTAACACAGGCCCCAAACCTAGCACTCAGGTGTTCGTCAAATGAATAATTCCACCAAAGGTGGTGGTTAAAAGCAGGGTTTTCTAAAGTCAAAAGGCAGATTTGAAGCTAGAATGAGCCACACGCCAACTGTGTGATTCGCTGCAAGCTGTTTAACCTGACCAAAATGAAGATTGCACCTGTGACTTGGCATAGGGAGAAATGAAATGGCATTAAAAAAAAAAAGGACACTCCTTTGTCTTCTTACTCAGCCCCTCCAATGGCCACTTTTCTGCTGTACGTGTCACTGTGCAGTCTAGAGCAAGTCTTTGAAATTTGGCGGGAATTATCTTCGGTCTTGGAGGACTACAGCTGCCCATGCGCGGGACCCCGCCTCTGTCTCGCGCGCTAACTTTGCAACCTCAACAGCCAATCAGAGTTAGCATAGGAGCTGGAGTGCCCAGAAGTGGCCAATCGAAACTGGGAGGCGGGCCTCAGCGGAAACAGTGGCGAGAGGAGGCGGGGACAGAGAGAGGGCACGCACAGCCCGGGTCTCTCCGGGCCAATGGGAGAGGCCTGAGGAGAGAAGGCAGTGGGGCGTGGCGTTGGCGGCTCCGGCAACCGGAGGCGGTCCCGAGTCGGGCCAATCAGAGTGAGGAGGTGGGAGAAGGCTAGCCAATCGGCGTTCAGGACAGGCGAGGCAGGGGCGGCCGAGTCCGGAGCGGACGCCGCCGGCTTCCGAGCTTTTCTGTCAGGGTTGGCCGGAGTGCGAAGGCGGCGGAGGCGGGAAGGCGTCCGTGGTTGAAGGAGCGGTGCTGTTCTAGCCGGGAGGAGGTCGGAGGGTGTGGGCCACGATGGTGATGGCGGCCAAAAAGGGTCCAGGCCCTGGTGGCGGGGTCGGCGGGGGAAAGGCGGAGGCGGAGGCAGCCTCGGAGGTGTGGTGCCGCCGGGTGCGGGAGCTGGGCGGCTGCAGCCAGGCCGGGAACCGCCACTGCTTCGAGTGTGCCCAGCGCGGGGTCACCTACGTGGACATCACCGTGGGCAGCTTCGTCTGCACCACCTGCTCCGGCCTCCTGTGAGTGGAGCGGCCCCGGGAGAGGACGAGGAGGGGGGACCGGGAAGGAAGGGCGGAGAGCCGGCGTCGGGGATCGCGGGGGCCGGAGCGATCGAGGAGGCCGGGATCGCGCTGGACGCCGAGCGAGAGAGGGTCGCCAGGCGCGAGAGCGTCACTTGCCGCAGAGGGGCGGCGGGGAGGGGCGGCGCAAGGGCGAGGAGACCCGGCTGGAGTCGCGTTGCGCAGAGAAGGGTGGGGGCTGAGGAAGGACGCCCGGAGAGCCGGGGAGAAACTCCCCGAAGGAGGCCCGGGGAACTGCAGGTGCGGAGGGAGAAAGCGTGGAAATTGAAGGCAACTCCGGGTGGAGGGGGAAGGCGGGAGAAGGGGGTAGGGACTTAAAGGGCCCGAGAATGACATGCACCTTTAAAGGGAACTTCATGTAGGCGGAAAGCGACAAGGAAGGAGGTAGGAAAAGCTGGACTCCAAACAGAGAAGGATCTTTCTTCTTTCTGGCTTGTGCCCCTCCTAGAGTGTGAGCTGCAGAAGCCAGTTGAAAACAGGTGCGTTAACCCGGGTTAACAGCTAGAGATCGCGATGTGCGTCCAGGTTTCAGGTGCAGAGCCGTATCTTGCAGGGCTTTGGAATGCTAGCCTCAGGATAGGCTACTTACGAAATCTAAGGCACAGGAGAGCAAATGGGTTACCCTGGTAGAGAGCTGAACTTTTCCAAAGGTGTGGGGATCCGGAGCCGTGTATTCATTTGTGCGGTTAAGCTCCTCGTTGCCATGGCTACCGTAGATCCTGGTGGTAGCATCCAATAAACTTTCAAAATTGAGGGAAAGGGGTTTTGCTGTATAATCTGCAGTGCCACCCTTGAAACTGACACAGAATTTGATTATGCCAGAGCTACTTCAGAGCACAGTTGCAGCCCAGATTTTTAGTTATATAGTAACCTCCCCTTTAGGGAATTATTTGATTAGTGGCATGATTAACATCTGATACTGGTCCTACATCACTGGTTTTTATGTTTTACCCAGTTTTTAGCACTATCTTAATACACTATTTTTTTTAAAAAGCAAGGAAAGCTTTCCTTGTTCTTAGACCTTTAGCAGCCAATAAACAAGCAATATTGTTCTTGTGTGACAGATGGGAGAACAGAAGCAAAGAGAGATGTAGTAACTTCTCCAGTGCCATATGGGGCTTGCTGTTTTCAGCTTTGCTTGATATTAGTTATGGTCGTGGCAGAGCAAAAATGAAGATCCAGGTCTCCTTAGACACAACTCGGAACTGTTTCTCTACTCTGTTTTTATCTCCTTTGTCAAGTTTCTGTGTTCTGGTCGACCTCACTTATATGTTGTGAAGATGAAGCCTAAATCATTATTCCAACAGCAAGATGCTGTTAGGAAGAGGAGGATCTTACTCTAGCATCTGGGGAGAAGTAAAGAGAAGCGGAGAAAGAACACTGAGGGTCTACCTAGCAACGCTGCTCCTAGGATGAAAATGTTAGAAAATGGTGCTAATTCAGTCCCAGAGTTAGCAGTGATGGCCTGAAAGATAAAACTCCGAGTAAATGGGAAGTGCTGACATCATTCTCATTGTTTTCTAGATCCTGGTTTAAAGTACCCCACAAATAACATTTCTGTATTGAATATCCCTCCATCAGGACAAAGGGAAAGCCAAGGGATCTGGGCCAATTAAAAATCTTTCTTTTAGTGGAAAAAAGAAATAAGTCTTTAAAGCTCTCTCAACAATTCGTAGAGCC